GTGTGGGGGTGGGTGTGGGTGTGGGTGGGTGTGGGTGTGGGTGTGGGTGTGGGCGTGGGTGTGGGCGTGGGTGTGTGTGTGTGTGTGTGTGTATATATATATATATATATATGTGTGTGTGTGTGTGTGGCTCTGTCTGTGGGTGTGTGTGTGTGTGTATGTATATATATATATATATATCTGTGTGTGTGTGTGGCTCTGTCTGTGTGTGTGTGTGTTAAAGGAGGTTGACCGTTTCTTTGCAGCTGGACTAGCATTCAGACTGCCAGGCAAGAAAACGGCATTCGCATGCTATTGCAAAGGGTGACATGCGCAGTTGCCGCTTTGCGTTTTTGGGCGGGTTCGGTGAAGGACCAACCAGGCAGGGCACTTGAAACACTGCTGCTCTCGAGCTCCGAAGCCAAAGACCAACAAAAAACCAAAACATGTCCAAAAGCTGAACCCCCATGGCCCATGCCCAATACCCTTACCCCAAGCTAATTTTGATGAGTCACAAACTGAGCATGGGAGAACACGATAACCAGCTCTCCATAGAAAAACAAATGGTCGGGCAGTTCAAGTCCGCATGCCATCGTTAATTTGCTTCGGGGCTCCAACACTTGCCCGGCGTACAGCCCCTACGTAGCCATGCAGTGGAACCGCGCCAGTTGTCTTGAGAGAAGAGACCAGACATAATCAGGTACAAGACACATCAGAACACGAAACGGTCCAACAATCGGAGCGGGGATGGCCAAACTGTCGACACAGCTTGAAGCATCGATGAATTCGACATGTGCACACGAGGATGCACTTGCCAAGGCAGCCAGACACCCAAGGCATCCCAGAGCAGAACATGCGGTGCGAAAGCTGTGCGTACAGATATAGAACCTGCAGTCTGGTACACCGCAAACCCTAATGCAACAGACGTGCTTTGCGGTTTTGGAAGCCAGTGCGACTTGCCTAGACGTCACAGCCCTCTCACCTCTCACCCTCTCGCGTCAGGGTTTTGGTTTGGAGCGCCTTCCAAACCACAACAGCAACGTGTGCGGACAAGGCACAGCGCTGACACAGATGCAGGCTCTTGGTCGCTTCGGCAAGAGGCCAGATTGCGCAAGTCCTGAGCACCGGCACAATGGAGCAATCCAGATCCTCGCGTTGTGCGAAGGAATGTGGCTCCGCCTTGGTAGATGCCAAATGGAGATGCAGGGCACGGAATCCGACAGTGTCCTCCACCAGCCGAGTGTCATGCAGCTCTGGCTCGCACCTAAATTGTGCTTGTCTGAGCTTTAGAGCTGTTTGAAGTAAATAAACATAGAGCATGCGGAGCCACACGCCGTGGAACAACCGCCCTGAACACAGGTGTCACGTACAGGACATCAAACACCAGGATTTACTACAGCGGCAGGGAATTCAGCCGTCACTGCTAGCTAGCAGCGACGGCTCAAACAATCTGACAGCCTTGAAGTGCGGGGAACGGGGAATGTACCAGATTACCAATATCAGAAACCGTCCTCAGGTCCTCTGCTTGGTGCGCGCTGAGACACGAATGATTCCAGGCGTGGGGCGCCCGTGCCGCCGCATAGAGCTGCTCCAGATCGGATTCGATGAGGGACAGCGACGGCCGTGGTATCCTCAAGCAAGGCGACGCGGCGACCCTCGCCTTACCATCTAGAATTTGGCCTGGTCTGACATGCAGATCATCTGCTTAGTGCTGCGACAAGGAGCTGGCCAGCCGGCGCGGGTTCGTTGATCAGTCTTCGTTCGTGGTAGAAATCTGCGCAACGCTGGGTTCTTTTCGTCATCTCGTGTGGCGGGGCTATATCCGTCTGCCCTGATGACCAACTACGGGACGCTGTAAGTGCCTTGTGCCAGCCCGCCTTTTGTGCCGCGGGCACTTCGCTCGCGGCTGCCTTTGCCGGCAGCCTGCAGACATCGCTCTGAACCTAAGCTGCCTCTTGCTCCCGCTGATTTAGCACGGTGCCTCATCCGACACGCTGCTTAGTGCCACGGAATAGGCGTCGATCTCATCGTAGGGGACCACCCTGCCTGGACAACGTGTGAGCTCCCCGAAAAGCCTCAATGTACGTTTTTGTTTAGAAAGTGCTGGACGAGCACGGAAACACTTTCTAAATGTAAACACTCACTCTGAGTCTCGTTGGCTGAATACGAAAGAGGGGCATCTTTTCGGTTGACAACCTGGTGGCCTCTGTAACCTATCCCGATTCCACTCTGCCTGAAATCCTTCGTCGGACGGCCACTGGCTCCTCTGGCCTGACAGGCAACGTTTGGGGACACAATTGCTGCGCAGTCGTGCAGCAAGGAGTAGATCACAGTCGCCAGCCCAATAGGCCATTTCGGACAAGGGGCCTTGCGCAGGCCCAAGCTTCAGGCGGCTGCGGGAGTCGCGGGAAGCATGTTGTCTCCTGTCGAAACGGTTGGGAAGCAAAAGCGACAAGGTGAAGAGATCAGCCAGTTCTCCTCGCTAGGTAGCATACGTTGCCTGTCTGTGACAGAAGCATTGCCTCGGTTCTGGTGGGCCCGCGCCATCTTGCTTCACAAAATTAGGGTGCAAGTACCGGTTCGACGGATTCGGCCAATGCCCTGCCAAGCTGCCCTCGCTGTGGGAGAATGAAGCGGACATGCTGAGGGATAAAGCGCTCTTATCCTGGACGGGGCATCAAGAGCCTGCTAGTATCATCTCACATCGCCTCGAACACACCCTGCTGTCTTTAGTCCGTGCCCCCTGGCTGTCCATGCAGGTCGATTCGGTTGCCGAGCTCTTCGTCGGGAACATGACCGGCGGACTGGCACAACCAGATCAACCAGTCTCTTTAGAGTCTTTAGCAGCCACAGTCAGCAACAGGGACTCTGTACCTCCGGGACACTTGCAAATCAGAGTGCGCCATGGCCATCCCATGAATCATCTCATCTTCGAGATTTCAAACATTATGTGTAAAATGTTGCAGGTGCAGGGAGAGCATGGCACATATTGCCTCAAATCCATAGAGCATAGCACCGGAGTCGGCTAGACATGCTCGCATGCAAGATGATGTTTATCCTGTCATGTCTTAGCAGCGGTTGCGTTGCAGGAGTATGCTCGGCTAACTTCGATTCGAACGGCTGCGGTTTTGCAATTCGCTGAACAAAAGGCATTTCCAACAACGGAGTCGACGTGACTTCAAGCACGGGAGCTGCTTAGTTCGGTGTCGCAAACATACCGAGCTAGCTTCCCGCAGCAGCAAACGGCAAAACTGGGGCAAGCGGCATGAAGCTGTCGATAAGAAGCCTTAGCAAAGGGGGTCGATGTGCCAAGATCTTCAAAATGGGCTGTGACATATCGACACTGGCTGCAAGCCCGCTGGCTGTAGATCTATGAATGACAGGACCCCATGCCAATATGCCGATGCTTGGTTTCGGGCAAATTCTACCCACACGCCAATTGCGCAGGCAGCCTGAATGACAAATAACGAGTATGCTGGGAAACAGATCGGAAGGAATCATATTATGACTCTCCAGCTTTTCAGGACGCATCCCTCCGCAAAATCCTACCATGGTATACCACCATTCTCCAGCAAACGCTGACAAGACCGACGAGTGCAGATGTGCGATGCCGCCGGTCACCTTGACCCCTTCGACCTTCGACAGTCTTGCTCAACCGAACAGAGTTCTTCAAAGTCGCTGGTGCTTCATGGTAAATTTTAAAACGAGACTGGAGTTTGCGACGCGGGCAGGCTATGCTCAATCTTATCGGAAAGCCCGAAATGAGCGCCCACCAAGCAACTACCTGTAGGAGACCTGTCCCTGCATGGCTCCAGTCTTGAGATGAGGCAGGGTGGCGCGCAGATCCATGTTGTGAGTTTCCGTGCACTCCAATTGTCAATATGGGCCACGGCCTGGGCCTGGCATCGGCATCAGCCATGCCCGGAACGCATGCAAACTTGATGACTGGTGTGCTTCAAATCTCTCCGTGGATCTACCTGGTCTGCTGCTTTGGCGAAGTATTGTTGTGCTTCAAATCTCTCCGTGGATCTACTGGGTCTACTGCTTTAACGAAGTATTGCTTGCTGCAGATATGCCTGCAGCCAGGGAGCTCATAATGGAAATGTATGTGACAGATACGGGTTTACGGCAACATCCGAAAGACTAGGACAAGCCTGCAAAATCGAGATGACAAGTACAACTAGCTAAGACACGGCCATTTAAAGCCCAACCGATCAATCTCGTGAGATGTTGTCTCGTCACACTGCTCAAAGCTCACCGTCTAAATCCGGGGCGTAGACTGCAAGTCCAACCGGCATGGAAACATGCCAGCAGGCAAGTCTTATAACAGTACATGAGTATCTGTCCGTCCGGTTCTGAAAGCTGCATTCCTTGGGAAAGCAGCGCTCAGTCAAATTTCGTCAGTGAGTATGAGTAGCGAACACGCCGACACCCTGGCCGGTAAGGCCGCGCTACCCACTCACAATTCCGTGCAGGACGGCGCAGCCATCCACGCCGCCATTGAAGGAGCTGAGGGACCCGATGGAGGATGAGCTGGTAACAGAGCCTATCGGCTGGCGTCCAGGCCCATGCAAGGGCGACCAGAGGATGCGGGCTAGTGAGCCCACATTGACCTGAGCGACTGCAGGAGGCGAAGGAGGAGGCGGAGGTTGCACCCCGGGCGTGAACAACCAGAGATTCGGCTTAGCAGCTGTCTGCATAGTCGAGCAAAGCGGACGGGGAATCAACCGATCTGCGTTCACTGTCCGCAGCAGGTCCCCGGTCTGTGATGCTGGGGACGATATGTCCCGTGGTGAAGGCCTGGTGAATCTGCCAGGGCTGCTGGGCGTCTCGGGAACCGACCGATCCGCATTGGCTCGCCGTGGCGTGTTCTGACACTGTGATCCTGGTGGCGAGATGTCCCGCCGTGAGAGCATGGCAGGACTCCCGGGCGTTGCAGGAACCAGTCGATCTGCGCTGACTCGTCGTGGCGTGTGCCATGACTGTGATTCTGGTGACGTAGTGAATCCGCCAGGGCTCCTGGGCGTCGTAGGTGCTGAAGCCACTCGTGGCACAACGGCCGTGAGCTCATGCAGGAGACGGTCCTGACTGTTACTCACGGCTGCCTGCCATGTCAACTCCCTCAGCAGCGAGCTCGTTTGATGGTGTTGCATGTCCAGCTTTCTCATTCGCTCCATGATCTCCTCATGGCGTTGATGCCGTGCCTCGACTTGTTGCCGCTTGTGGGCGAGCCTCGCCTCTTTCTCCTGGCGCTTGCCTTCCAGCTGCTCGGAGTGGGCACGGAGACGGGCATCCATGTAGTCGGAACGAGCCCTCCGCCGCTCGGCCGATGCGGCCCTCTGATGGACAGCCTCTTGCTCTACCATCATTCGTCGTTGGGCAGTCATCTCCTGCTGGAGAAGCCTCCTCTTCGCCCGCTCGGTCTGCAGAAGGCTTGCCTTGTAGATGTTATTGGCAATGCGGGCATCGCGAAAGCTCGCGATTTCCTGATTCAGCGCTTCTTCGTCGGCCCTCTGGCGGGCTATGTATTCCGACTTCGATACAGCTACGATAGCTTTTGCCTCCGCTGACGCAATCTGCTCTTCTGTCTGGGCCCTGATGAACTGTTGGGCTTGTTGTCGGCGGCCACATATTGTCTGCATGCGGATCTGAATCTCTGCTTTTTTCTGAGCAGTGAAATTTTCTTGCCAGTCCCTGCGAGCAGTCTCCTTGTTTTCATGCTTTGCCCTCATCTCTTCGTAGTGCATCTGCTTTTTCCACAACGCCCGATGCCGTGCCTCCTCCTTGGCCAGCCACTTCTCCTTCGAACACAGTGCCTTTTCAAACTTACACTCGGAGAAGCTTCGGCCTTGAGCAAGCATGTCCCCCCCCCCCCAGATCCCGCTCCCTCGAGCTGGGTTTGGGATGGCTTGAGCCTGGAGGTTAAAGCAGCGTAGAGGCATCCAGGCACGTGGTACGACGCACTCCGACTAAGTCGTGGCTGCTTGTTTCGGCTGTTCTGTGCACTGGGATGTTCAAGGAACTTGCTCGTGCCTAATTATGGTGCTTGGCACAGCTGGCAAAACAATGATCTCGGAAAGCCTCCAACCCATTCAGCTCATTTTGTAGAGTCTCGTCCATAGACAGACTCACCATAATGCGACAAGAAGCATGTTGCATTTCAAGCATAACCAGACTAAGCTGGATCGATACACTAGCAGATCCTGACAGGCAAATGTATGATTGCAGTATGGTTAAAAGCATCGGCAAAGTGGCCTGTGGACACGAAGGAAACATGTAACGTTCTTCTGCGGGCTGTTCTGTTGTGTGCTGGCAGCCATTAATCATGAAACACTTTTCTGCCGAGCATGCGCCATCCACCCGGCCGCCGGTGTTGCGAAGATTTTGAAGCCCTGGCGTGCGCTCCCACGGCCTGGACACCGCAATTGATTGTCTTCTCCAGATTCAGCTCAGACTGCAGGCATTGTGTGCGGCGAAACTCCTGGCTAGCCAGCCTCAACTTAGAGACTCAGTGGGTCCATTAACTCTAGTTTTGCGTCGAGCAGATGACCCCAAAACCCCATTAACTCTAGTTTTGCGTCGAGCAGATGACCCCAAAACCCAGAACGAAACAGTCGCGCTGCTGTTCCTGTTTAGGGCTCCGTTTAGCATGGTGGTGATGAAGGTCGGCAGTTCCATTCTGACATACACAGCACTGAGGTCACTGGGGTCCAAATCCTCACAATAAAGGTGGGTGCGGGGAGTAACGGGAACCGTTTTGGGAGAAGCGGGAACGGATCTTGCACGCTTGTAACAAACGGGCGGCTGCAGCAACATCAACCAGACGACCAGCACAACAGAAACTACCACCGGTAACCGGGCAGGAGGCTTTTATGCTCGCAAAGTAGGGGACCCCAGAAACATGCAAAAAAGGATTCTACATTCTACATCCCTTCAGCCACAATAAGGACTCTAAAGCATACAGCGTGCTAACGCCTGTGTACACCCTAAGCCACAAACTACGAAACCCTGCACCGCAAACCCTAAGGCCTAAACCGCAGTTCCTGTTACAAGGTGCCGTCCCCACCCTGTTACAGGAACAAGCTGGCTTGCGTTTCGACTTCGGGGTAGGTTTCTGCTACACGGCTCTGTTAGTGTCGGCCAAAAGATTCATCTCAGCATGGCCCAGGATCATCCATGTCATCCCTAGCAATAACATCTTAAACCAGCATGCCTTGGCTCGCGGCCCTCGATCCAGGGCCGGACGGCCTGCGCTTGCAAGGCCCTTTCTATCGCTAGACTTGCAGCTGCGAGCGAAAGCATAAAACATGGAACCAGCCTCAGCGGACTCGCGGCTGCATGGGTCTAAAACTGCGAGCGATGAACCTAGCAGCGTCACACCAGCTTTCGTCACCATGTTGCAACGCAGACTGGTGAGCGGCCTACCCGGCGGGATTCTGACATCTCAGCTGGGTGCGCAGGTCTTTCGGTAAGGACTCCGAGTACTCGTGACTCTGCGCCTGGCAAGCTGGAAATCTGGTGATGGCGCCCGCCGCCCGAGATGCGATCCAGCAAATCCTAAAGAACCTGGGACGAAGAGGCCTTGCAAGCACATCAACAGCAACGGCTGCAGCTCCTTTCTAGGCCTGGGAGTCTCCCCACTGCAGGCGAAAGCAGTGCATGAACCTGGGGGGATGGGCGGGCTTCCTCTGCAACTCATGTTTGTTGACCATTTGTTTCCGTCCAACCATGCCATCCCCTGCTCAATGTCAGCGACCGTTTCGTTCGAACAAGTCAGGATGGCTGGGGGAAGGTAGTGAACCGAAGCGACTCCCCAGCCAAAACATAGCGGCCTTTTCGACCTCCACAAGAGGGCTTGGCTATGTTGCGTGAACAGGGAGTCCCATGCACAGCTCACGCTGTATGTACAATGCACATTTGACCCGAATCCAACCGCTTCCGCTCTCTCATGTGCCAAATAGCAATAACTGACGCAAAGATGCGTCGTGATGAGGCGTAGAACAAAGCAGATTTCATCGGCACTGGAGTTAATACACGCCTGAGTATTTTAGAAATTGTGCTGTCGGCCTGTCCAGAAATTTCCACTCTTCCTAATTAGGCCTGGATCGAACGGCTGCTGCGGGCGAGCATAAAGCAAAGAGTTTAATTACTGTTTCACATCTCGCCTCGTCGGATTCTGGCGCCGATGCGCGTTAATTGCATCATTCACAAGCGAAAATGTGCGCCATTGGCAACACAAACATTGCAGAACCATGCTCCGTGCCAAAAGGTATATATTGAAATGACGGGAATGGCGTCCATGCTTTGACAGCATGTTCTTTTTGGTCGAACTGCATACCGCAAAGAGCGTCATGAAGCTTTTGACTGGGACTTCAGCAGCTGTAGCAGATCGCCGAAGCCTCTCAAGTCCGCTGATGTTTCAGAATGCTCCCGGGAGTGCACACTCACCCCGAGGGCATGGACAAGATTGGACAAGGAGAGGGGAATCTTCTGGCTTGTGAGCTTCGACCGATGGCCTTTCTGCTGTGCTGCTGCAGCCACACTCGTGCCGTTGGCGGACTTGAACTTGACCTGGGGTAGCTGGGTACGCACGCGTTGCAGCGACTCTGCCTACTCAGTCTGGCCCAAAGCCTTCCATATTGCTTGCAACTGCAGGCTGGGGGCATCTGATTTCGCACGCAAAAGGCTTCGCGCCACGTCTACCTGACCGCTGAACGATGCAACGACCTCAGATGGACGCGGAAGATCTCTTCAAGACCTACAACGGCGATCGGCCCCAAAAGCCTGTGTGCTTTCGAGGGGGTTCCTCGTCCTGGTGCTGCGAAGAAACATAAAGTGGAGTCCAGCCCTCTTCGTCCACTGCATGCACATCTGCCTTGGCCTTGCAGAGGATCTGCACTACCTAGGGAGAAAAAGCAACGCCCGAGTACAAGAGACTGGAACGACACCGCAGAAGACAAGAAGCAACCAAAAATTCTACCTTTTGGATGATTCATAAAGCGTTAAGTCCAGTCTCGGCATCATCACCTCGAAAGGCTGCTACGTGCAGAGGAGTCAAGCCATTTTGATCTTTGGCATTCCTCAGATATCCAAAGCAAACAGTTGGCACTTTACTGCAGGAGCTGCAGCTTCTCGTCACTCGCACGATGACTTACATTTCAGTCACGGCTCAGCTTCGTGTTGGCTGCGCAGAGCATTTTTACGATCTCCTTCGTACACTGAATACACTGTTACACCTCGAGCATTCATGCACGTCCCTCTGTTGGCTTGCTGGCAGACACAAGTTCATACCACTTGTAGCCACGCACAATTGCACATGCCCAACCATGCGACATGCTGCTTGCCCGCGTCCGGGGGCCCTGTCCTGATGCCCTTCTGAACATGCCGCGTGCAAGGCTTCTGTGCCGAGGGTTGCTACCTGCCAAGACGGTGGTACACGACTAGCAATTGGAAGCTTTATTTCTGCCCCAAGTTTCTCGGTTCAGTTGAAGCGAGCTTAGGAGATGCGTGAGAAAGCAAGGCCGGTCCACCCCCACCTAAAGACTTCGAAGACGTGCAAAACGTGAGGACCTAATCGTTCCTAATCGTTGCAGCAATTTCCATCAGCTAGCCAATACGTTCTAACCGCAAGCGCCTCACGTGGATTTGCACGAGCCAGCATCTCTCCTTTGCGATTCAGCGCATTCGCTCGAGAGTCACCGAGTATTAGCCAAACCAGGTGGATGGCTCTCCCGTCCGTTCAAGCAAGCGACTCACATGGCGGAGGTCGCCTGCCTTCAGGAAATTCGTTACTACGGTCCAACACACAGAACAAGCTCTAGCATAGTGGCAGTTTAAAGCGAAAGAAAAGCATGATCGTAGCAGAATGGCGTTTCCATTGCATCTGACATCGCAGCCTTGGCAAGTCGAACGAGGTCGCGCATGGGCCTCATGGACCTGGTCACCGGGGCTTTCCAAAACTTTCGCCTATTGAGATTTGGTGAAATCTATGCTGCTCGGCTCAGTTTGGTCTTGCTGCTCGGCTCAGTTTGGTCTTGCTGCTTTGGCGGTGTTTTGCAATGTTTCCCTGTTAACAGGATGCTCCCGGACGGGCGCGACTCAGCACGTCCACCTGACAGGGAAGGGTCTGGACTTGTGGTTTTACGCAGCCGTCGTGTCTGCTGTCGGCTTTGTGGCTCGGACAAGCTCTGCTCAGCCGAAGCCCATGCCCATGAAGGACCCTCCAGTGTGTCAGAGAGGATGTTGCGGTGAGCACTGTCGCGAAATGCGTATACCACACTTACTGTACACCTTTTGGGCAGTCAGTGGGTTGGGACTTGCATCTTGCCGTTGTGATGTCACCCCATGTGTTCGACAAACCTTTCCAGCCCACAGGGTTTTGATCGCCTACACCAACAACACCACGGTGACCACATGTGAACAAGCTGCTTCTAACGCTTAAACTGATCCCTCAGTCCCAACCTACAAAGCCGTTGATTCAGGAACCATTTACTCCGATCGTTGCCGTTCGAACACTCACTGCGCAGCGTAGCAGTCGCGACCCTTCTTTTCGCGACCACGACATGGGGTCTGCATGGGGTTACTGGATGGATTCCAGAGACTTGAATCATTCGTGCGATCGGCCACATGCCGATCCACTCACATCACAGGCGATCGAACTATCATCAAACTTTCAGGCCCTACACTCCTTCAGGGAGCGATACCTGAGAATGGATTCACCCATGCGTCAGACCTGTGGCCCCGCGACGGCACATCACTTTTTTCCGACTTTCAACCGCAGTGGTCTGGTCTGACCTAGTAGCGAGCCTGGAACACGAACAGTGTTCGCGGCCGCTTAAAGCGGCAGGCAGCAGCTACAAGGATGAACACGGGAGCGGTAGCCCAACAACTGTGCAAACAGAGGTTCAAGCGCCCATTGGTTCAACCTAGCTTTCTCGCTCTTACTAACTAGGTGCTTGTCACCTGGACCGTCCAAATCGCAAAAATCAGTGTGTAGTGAAAAAGGAATCAGAAAGATCCTCTTTGGCTTGACCTCGGCCTGCAGAACGGCTCAGGGCTCAGAGGGGGAATGGAAACGAGGGAACTGGTAGGCTCCCGACCCCTTGTTCAGCGAACGGTGGAGGCCCCAGTTGCTTATCATTTGCATGGTCCAAAACGGCAATTTCTTGGTGTAATATAAAAACCGCCGCCAGCAAATAGCGAGATGTGGCTTCCTTCTGACCAATGCATCAAGGCGCCGTCGGCACGACCCCTTGTTCAGACAACAACGGAGGCCCCCGTTGCTTATCACCTGCATGGTCTGTTTCCTCGGGCCAAAGAATGGCACCAATCCAGCAAAATCTTTCATAGAGGCCCATTTCGTGCAAAGTCCACACGTGCCATGATGCAGACTGGAAGAGCCATGCACAGTTGGCGGCAGCCTCGAGATGGCACGCACTTGCCCAGTGTCTTGATCATAAGCCCATTGCACAACCAGTTCCTGTAGGCTACGATGTGGCCTGCAGGGCAGATCAGGGCAGCATGATGTGTGGCACATGTGTGAGATGCTGATGAATATGGTGTTGGAGCCCATTCATTGTGCGGGCTTCCCATGCACCATCAATGGCTGGGAATCGGAGCTTCCTCACCAAGTAGGAGGGAAGCTCTGCAGCATCGTGTTGCTGCTGAAGGTTCGGCCATTCTCGACGGCACATCAGCCGGATTCGAAGCAATGGGAACCCGATCGATGTACACCAAATATCTCAGTTTGAGCACAAGGTCCCAGAAGATTCCCGCACACATCTTCCTTAGCCGAGCAGCCCTTGATCAGAGCCGCCTCGATCGGTTCCGAATCCACGAAGATTTGATTCGACAAAATTAACACGAGCTTTCGCTGGGGATGATCTTTAAAAGTCTCGATCGCGGCCACCACAGCCAACAGTTCAACCATGCACTGCAGATCTGCGTCTTCGTTGGAAAACACAGGCACATGATCACCAGTGATACTTCCGACTAAAACTGGAATGGAGAGCTCTCCCGTGAAAAGAGAACGCAGCCGATCATCCCGATCTTAGGATTAGGATTATCAGGCTGGAGCTGGGGGCAGACCCATCTGTGAACAAGACGAGGTCTGTCTTCTCCGGCACCGTGAGCGGAATTGAACACGGCCTGGATGGATCTCATCAAGGAGATCCTCGTGCCGTGCTCTCTTGATCTTGAGAACAACTTGTTCGAGGTCGTAAGTCACCCCAAAGATCATGGGGTCCGAACACAACTGGAGCTTCTTCGCATCATAATGCATCATAGCGGTCGAGCCCTGAGCCACAAGCGGACTCACTCAGCGGATGCAAACACAACACGTGAACTTAAGCTTGGAGAAAGGACCGATGTTCCTGCCTACCCCAACCAAGCACGAACACCACAGGCACTATGAGGGGGAGACGAAGACGCCAAGAGAGACCACAGATGCCACACCACAGGGGGGCCGGAGGGGAATACCATGAATTGAAGAGGAAAGGGGGCTCCTTTACACATACACATACACTTACACTTACACACATATACACACACACACATATATATATATATTATATACACACACACGCAGCATGCATACATACATGCGCATGCGTTTGCGTAGGTGGCCTATGGTGGCCTTGGCAGGGTAGCTCCACGTCGACAAACTTGAGCAGTCGACTCTGTTCATTAATGAACACGTGGCCCCCCTCTCTGTTTGAAACTCTCCACCAAGTTTTGTTCATGCCTTGACTGGCATGGGCGTACTCGTCAAGCCTCTTTCCCGCTTGTCGAGCCACTGCCAGAAGACCGAACGGAGGTGTACATCACGCGGTAGGATTATCGGCTTAGGGTTGTGCCAACCTCTTGGTGTCGAGGATGGTTGTGGGATCAGGCAGAAACGATTGCTTCTTACTGTATGTTTCCCTGTGTGACTCAAACAAGTTTTCGGACTGCCGACTGCCGAAGATGGGTTGCAATGGTTGCAGAAGCCGCATGACTTGAATATGGGTCCGCTGGTCGCAGATGTGCCTATACTCGGTCCAAACTGAGCCGAACCCAAGGCTTCAAGAAGCCAGGCCACGGCGCGGAAGAAGACTCGTCTCCTCAGCGAAACACATTTGGCCAAGGCCGAATGTCACAGAATGGTGGTGAAAGAGTACTGAGTACGCCAGGCAGCCGCTGGAGTTGTAGCTGTAGGAGTCTGAGTTCGTCCTGCGAGTCTGCCAAATCTACGCACTGCAAGCAGCTAAATGGTAGCTGCCTGACCGCATGTCGCAGCTGCCGGCACATCGTTTCACCAAGCTTTAACTGCGTCACTGCGCGACTGCGGTCTCACAGGGCTTCGACCTGTGAGTTCCAATGCTACAGGCGAATCGAAGCATCCAAGGCTGCAAGCTCCACGACATAACTACCTGGAACGGGTTCTAGCTGTTTTAGCTGAAAGATTGCGCAAGTGATTCTGATTCGCTCACCCAGAGCAAACGCTCGGGCTTTGTGCATCGTTAACTGGGTGAGCCTTGCCCTCACCTCTGCCATCGCAGGGAGAGTGCAGCTTCCAGCTCACAGGGTCACTTTCGTGCTTGTGCCCCAAGGACACTTCCCCGACGAGGTGAGCTTGATCCCAGCGTCCTGCCAGTCGCTCAGTAGAGTGTTGCTGAATTGTCTGTGCTCTGTCCGGTCTCTCTCCGAGAACGTTCAAATAGAAAGCCGATGAAACCGGTCGAGAGTCGTCGGGTCCAATAACTTCCAGTCTCGTTGACTCGCTGCTGCCGTTAGACGTCCGTCCAAGACTCACAAGTGGCTTGAAGGCGCCCTTGAAAGCGGCAGAGTGAGTGACACGAAATCAAATCTGCGAGTCAGTCCTACCTGTGTTGCTATGTCACACATGGAGCTCCCAGAGACTGCTCTACAGCAGCAGGGAGTGACTACAGTCATGCGTTGCAACATGGTAGTCTGAAGCCAAGAAACTGACAATTGACTCATAAACTGCGACCCCTGTCTTGTGTCTTCGTGGACCAACTCTCACAGCAATGCCGCCCGGCAGCATTGCAGAGGTCGCGGTCTGCGACATCACCACCATTGCGAAGCAAGTGGAAGTGGCCACGATTTGAGGCGATGACGCCGGCCAAGTCCTTCGAGGCCCTAGGCTTTTTAACTCAGATCCCCTCTGCCCATGTACGAGCTTACGTTCAAAACAAAAGCACTGCGAAACGAGCCTTCGTCGCCTAGCCGACTGTATAGTGCATTCGGCCCTGACTTGATCATCTCTTCCGGAGTTCCTAGAGTTACAGGTGTCCAACTGAGTTTTCAACCGTGTGCATAGGCCTCTGGCGGCTGTGCGCACGCGAGAAGGCTCTTACCAACTGGCACTCAGCTCCAAGATGCTCCAAGCTTTACCAGGCCTTGACCTACGGAATAGTTATTGCATGGCTAATCATGGCTATCAAGCTCGGCCAGCTCCTGCATCAGCGGTTCACGATGCACCGAATGACCTCAGTAAAGGACTAAGCATGTCCGCTGGAAGACGTCAACTGCCCCACACTGGGTTCCTGGTTGCAGCAAGATTTCCACCGCTCAATTACATCCAACACCAAGCCGCCTAGCGCTTACAAAAGTATTGGCAAACTCTAATCGTGCATGAATCTCCCCAGCGAGGTGCTTGCAGAAGACTCTTCCGGAATCCGCTTCAGGACTTCGAGGCATTGCGTTTCGATCAGAAGGTCGGAGGCGTGAATTGGCAGGTTGATGGTGATGAACCTCACAGGGCAGACAGTAACATAACATCATTTGTTACTACGACAACGAAAAACTAGCGACTCATGAAATACTCAAGTAGTGCCAGTACCTCCGGACCAGCCTGAAAAAACTCTTGATTTTCTCCGCCGCTTTCTGAAGATCTGCCTCGCCCCAAATCACAGGCAGCTGCTCTTCGTAGTATGTAGCCTCCATGCATGTGACAAGCGCTTCCATCTCATGGCAACGTAAGGAACCAAAAGACTGCTCAACACCTCTCCTAAGCCTAGTATTATCTCCTGGCTTGCCACCACATGCGCTCTTGCCAAGAATTTGTGCAGGCAGCTTGTGGGAATTGAAACTCAGGAAGATTCCTCGGAAAGCAGGGTAAAAGCAAAGGGATCATTGGTGAAAACACGCGTTTGGACTCCGTCGAGTCGCACGGGAATAATTGCCGGCTTGTTCTTGGACTCGCTTCCCAACTCGTCAAGCTGAAGCATCAACCTGAACAGCTCCGTGGCCTAAAGCCTTGCCGGCAGAAACTAACTCTCTCGGCCTTTTTCGCCTGTGGCAGCACTCCCATGAAACTCTTGGCTCCGAGGGGCTCCACGATGGCATGGAGTTGGAAGATCGAAGACAGCGACCCGAAGGACAGAAGCACCACCAATGCACGACAGCGGGCCACACAGTTCCTTGAAAGAGGAGACATGCCGTCTTCGCATGATGTGCTGGTTGTGAACAAGTCCCAGCGTCGCCATGTGGAACTGATTCCTGCCAGAATCGACGAGGCATATGGCGCCTGGAAATCACGGAAAGGCGAAGGGAAGGGGGGAGCTCAAAAGATTTGGTCCGATGTGCGGTCGAGACACTGGTCCCGCACGCCGCGACCCCTGCATTCCTGGACTTAAGCAGCTGAACTCTCGCTCTCGTGGTGCTCCCTTCGCCAGTTCTGCTGGGTGTCATTTTTCTGCACAGGATCGAAGCAGCCGCTGTTGCCTCGTCATTGCCTGGCTCCGACGAAATCACGACCTCAAAGCATGCGAACACTTTCGGACACACAAGACTGCGGCAAGAAGAGAAGGGTTGACATTCTGCGGGATGGAGGGTCTGGTAAGGCTTGATTAAGCAAAATGTTTCGACAGACAGTGGGGGTCATAGAAAGATGACTGGTGATGCGTCAATGCGCACACAGGCACAGGCACAAGTAGTTGAATGGCGAGCCGGGTACAGCAACCTGGACAAGGACACGCTAGGGCTGCACGACCAATGGATGGGAAATTTGATCCACACGCTGCTCTGCAGCCAGAACAGACGATATGTGATGAGGGAGAGCCATATGTCCAGCACGCGGACATGGACAGGCATCTGCAATAGATCGTTGTCGCAGCATGCGTCAAAAGGCTGGATACGGCCGGATGCACCAATGGACGGCCATAGAGGCACGAACTATCACGAACCGGCAAATAGTCAAAATCGGCAACCGAGGCTTTTTACGATCGATGGAAGAGGGGATCCACCGCCACTCCTTGACTACAAATACGATGTGTGACGGCGTGCGTAGCCGCATAGGCTGTATAAGTTTACAATTGCATTCGCACGAGTGTAGACAGACATGCATGGAAGCGTGCACCCATGCCTGCTCGCAGCGTGTATGTATGTGGCCGCGAGAAGAGATAGGAAGACAGACAGAGAGTCGGAGGCGCACAACAGACAAACAAGGACAAACACCAGTCTCTAGCTGGATGGATGGGCGGAGAAGCAGATGGATGCTGTCATGCACGGACAGTATAAATGGACATTTTGATAGACAAACAATCGGACTGATATACAGAACGGGACGGTAAGACATGCTGAAACAATCCATGCACCCGTATGAATAGACGAACAGGTCCAGCTGGCGGCGCACGCACACACACACACAGATAGGGATCTATCCAAGTGATGCCATCGGCCGTGAAAACACTATTCCGGCATAGACTTGAGACGTTGAACGTGTGCACTGGACTGCAGCAGAAACAAGACCGGCACTCCAGAACATGCAGAACTAAGGGGACACGATAAAGCGCAAATGCACGGGACGGTTGCGGTAAAACGAGGCCCACACAGCGGAAAACTCCAAAAACCTCTCAGAACGGTTGGATAACGGTTGGATTTCGGAACAGCGGCGAGCCCTGAGCTGCCGAATAGTGCCCCTGCCAGGACTTGAGCAACTTCGGGCAACGACGGTCGCATCAACCGCCGATGGGCAACTACACATTGTACACAGCCCTAAGACTCGGGCAGGTAGGCGGTAATTTTCACAGGCTTGACAGCGATCGCAACAGCTGCAAATCAAGTGCAAGAGCAACAAAGCATTGGAATTTGCAAGACGCGGCTGGCTCGGGACTGGCGATAACGGCGATAACGTGGTTTGAGTCGAGAAGGTACGGGCACCTCTCAAGGGTGCCGCTTCCCCACCGATCAATAACTTTACGTTTTACGACATAGTTTACGCCACAGCGTTACCACAGCATTACCAAACGGTTAGGGGACATCGACTCCTGGTACCCCGGTAGACCAACATGGCTTTGCTCGAGCAGTTTGCCCATTACTTTTTGCAGACATCGGTGAGCACAAAGCTGAACCAACGAGCGGCCAAGTCAGCTGTGTCATCGCTCCTTACTGGCGAGATCTCAAATCTAAGTGGACGCTGGGCAAGCATAGTGTTGGCTTCTGTCGGCTTCGCTGCGTCTGAGGCACTCAACGTCTGGGTTGCCCTCATCCTTCGGGAAAGCTGCTTTCTGTTTGCCCTTCCTCACCAGAAAGTGACACTCATTCCATCAGCTGTGAAGTTCCCCATCTGAAACGCAGGCTGCAGAGCACAACAAAATATATTTGTACACTTTCAATTCAATGCAAGCATCGATCTTTGGAAAGACAGCTCAGTCAGCTCTTCTGCCAACCTGGGCTGTTTTCACACATGCATTGAGCGATCTGAACTCATCATAATTCATCCGTGTCCAAGAAATTTCAAGAGGCTTGTCGAATCTATGCGTCCCAACCAGGAAATCGTTGAATTCCTAGGCTGTGCGGAACACTTGTGGAAGTACTCATAGTAGTGACAGCAGCATGTCACGGCTTCATGCTAGGTGCTGCCGGATCAACTCCAAAAGGCATCATCGTTCAGATACTTTGAGACATTTCCACGTGCCAAGGCAAGGCTCCACACAGGGGGTGCTGGGCCGAAGCAAGTTTGCAAAGGCATCTCGCACGTCTTCCATCCGAATGAAATAGCGTGCGAGGTTGCAGCCGCGCATGTCTATGTATGACCTTGTCGTTATGCTTGTGACAGTTAGCAGCCGCTACATCTGCACAGGGCCATACTCAAGGCACATCATCACAGATACCTGCGGATGGCTCGTTGCAAAAGCACCTCGACATGCCCGCCGAAATGCTGCAAGTATTCCAAGTCGTTCAGCTTCTCATCAGAAGGCACGGAGTAGCCTGCAGATAGACTGGATGGACTCATGGCCCGGTGCCATCCCCTGACAATCTCACAGGAATGAAGGTATGGGCAGGTAGGCCGAGGCGCTGCAAGTCTTGACCCTCACGACTTGCACTGTGCTGCTCCTGCGGTTCGCCATGCCCAAGATGCATGCAAGTCTGGAAATCAAGGTATCTCCGACGTATCCAAATCCAATATAATAGTAATATATTCCAACAGTTGTTGTATCGACTGCCACGACTACCACTCAGTCTGCTGCCACGTGCAGGCACACACCTCACACACACACACACATGCAGGTTACTGATAAAAACCTAACGCGAAAGACAACGCCTGCCTGTCATGTGCAGGGAATCGTTCCGGACATCATGGACTCCTGAATGCCGTTACGATTTCACCCACGCACCATGGTCGTGTCAGGATATCACGCGTCATATACACCACCTCGGTCAGCTTGACCATCGTTGTTCATGAGATTCTGGCAAAGCTGGTGCAAATTGGGCATCAACACAGTGTCTGACAAAACTGCTAGCTATTCGTTGCTGCCCAGAAACTAGTGTTTCCACCTGCACCTTGACCACATTGAATAACGTGTCCTTGCATGCGAAAGTACTGGACACATCTGTTGCTCGCTATGTTGCTCCTGGATTTTGCAACCTGGAACTGGGCTACCAGTGCCGTCTCATGTGCTTCCTTCTCTCTGGCGTGACGCGAACCTGCTGCCACTAAAGTGCTTCTGCGCCGAAAGTAGGCTGCAAATGGCTGCAAGGCTTGACTTTCTCCAAGCGAAGGAGTGCACCGGCCAAATCTGCCCGAGCAATTCACGTAGCAGGCTTTGTTGTGCTTGTCACTCGTACCGACGAGCCTACGTCTTCCGAACTGTTCAGGATTGCTCAGGGTTTCCGGCTGCTTCGCATTTCTCAAAATAAGTTTCGCTCAGCCGAGCAGCCAAGTCAACCAGGTTGTCTGAGTCTATGAACACGTTGCCGTAGGAGTTTTTCGCCTTGGACTCTGGACGTCTGGAAGCCCTTGCCATCCACTCATCCGAAAGGCTGAGCCAGTCAGAAAACTGCAGGCCTCGCCTGAAGCAGCACCTTGAGCAGACGCGCCTGTGCAGATGCGTCGGCCTTGTGATGGCAGATGAACCACCTGGGATCCAGAGCTAAGCCGCAAAGCCCAAGCTGTCTCCAGCACCGCGGCTCTGATGCCGTGCCAGCGAGTGACTTGTAATGCTTCCCTGGCACCTGAGAAGCTGCAGATCTCACGAGGCAGGACGTGTATGCAACATGCCTGAGGCCAGGAATAAATCTGCATGATCTCCCATCCCATACTCTAACAGGCTAGTGTACAGGAGATGGTTGCTCGGCTAAACTCAGGCTCGGACGCACGTTCTGTAGATGCTGTAGCCAAGTCCAACCGTCAGGAATACACCGAGAACGAGGGCTATAGCTGTGCCCACGATCGAGAGACTTAGAAGGGGCAAGGCTGCAGAATTGCGTAAGAGCTGGCCCGGGAATAGCATCTCGCTGCATCTTGCAGATGCTGGGGGGTTTTGCAATGGTACCGTGGCTTATCTCGAGTTCACAGGGTTAGCAGGAACCGGAGCTTCTCAACACATGATGGTGAGGACATGCCTCGAGATTTCGACGACCAACCTCGCTCTCAGAAGCTCCAATGCTTGCAGCTGGCTCCCGAATGGTGGATGCATCCGTGGGCGATGCAAGAGTTCCACAGAGTAGCAGCAGCAGCAAAGAGGCACCTTGGCTCAAGACACCACAGCTATTCGCACATGTGCAGTTATGTCAGAGATGTACAAAGCCAAATTCGCAGAATCATGCTTCACAGTCACTACAGAATCCATCCATCTGGTTTGCAATGTAGCTCTTCCAGGGGTGAAGCTGCAGTTGGTGCATCATGAACAACACGATGGCAAAACCTGGGCTGCAAGGGATGATCGTACGTCGACATGCAGCGGATGCCATCGATCGACGCAAATAACTTACATAAGAGAAGGCTAAGGTGACTCATGCTACCAAGTGTGCGACAAAGTGTGAGACAAGATAGGAAGGTCTGCTTCACATCCGAGCCACCCAGCAAGCAACTTTGCAGAGCGACGCCTCAGCTTTTGGCAGGCTTGCAAACGTGCCTTTTTCAGCTGCTTCGGCTTCTTGATGTCCTGAAACTTTGTCAGACCGTTTGTTCGAGGTCCTTGTTGCAGCACTTGTTGCAGGCACCGGACCGCGCCAGGGCAGTTTCACGTCGATTCCAGTTCAGGTTGACCCCCACCCTCCATGCCAAACGTGAAATCTCGGGAGCACGACGCACCAAGTCCCTCAGAGCCGCACTGCATGTAGGGCTGGCACCTCTCTGAAAAATCACCGGGACGAAGGCAAGAAGGCAGTTCTTCGCGAGGGACACGATGCAATAATAGTGGGCCTTGGGCTCGACTTTCTGTCTCAAAGCAAGGCATTACCCCCCGCGTCTGCTTCGTTCGATTCCGAGCGTGGACTTCGTGTGGGCTCAGATGCCAGCAGCGAATTGACTAATTGACTCAGCGGACTCCAGGAGGATTTGCCCTACAACGCCTCTCTGCATTCCACAAGGGAACTTCCAGCTGCTCGGCATGCGAGTCGGTCGAGCCTCGTTCTTGGCAAATGACTGTCGCCGAGCCGCTGCAGGAGTGAAGCGAGAGAAGAGGAACTGAGTGGAAAGCCTGGTGTGAACGGAAGAATCGAGTCAGGTGTTATCTTCCCGTCAATAACACGATGCTGCAACCGGCAAACCTGCAACACCGACGCATGATCTGGATTATGTCGCCGGGTCTCTGAAAATTGCGCCCCGCAGGAGACTTATCCGTAAGCTTTGCCGGATACACCTCTGTCACGCAGGAAGACCGGAGATGCAGTCGTTAAAACTCATCTTCGTACGGTGGTGGCATGTTGTGGTCCCAGCCAGCAGAACAAGACTTGAGAAAACTGAGCTCTGCAAACCTGCAATAGCAACAAACAGACCACCTCTGTTGCTGCCTGGATGCCCACGTTGCCCAACAGCTGACCGCCTTATCCAGTCTTTCTTTCTGCAGGTCTATCTAAAGGAGAGTGTCCCCCACTCGTGAGTGCGCGATTTGTAGTTTTGGCGCCCGCACGATTTGTATTGGAGTGGACAGAAAATGAAAAAAGTTTTGGCAGCATTTGGCAACTTAGTATTCCATTCCCAGCTGCTCGGCTCGCATTGAACAGACATGCAACACAACTGCGAGATGCATCATGCTAACAGGCGCTCCTTCTTGCGATGGTCTCTTCCCCTCTCTCTCGCGCTCTCTGCCGTCACAAACAGTCATTAATTCTGGTGGAAGATTAGAAACCACATTCTAGACCTTGTCCTCTGGCTGGAAATTGCGCGTTGCAGGTACAGGAAATGCGGGTGCTGGGCTCACCGCCAAAAATGGACAAGGCAGAAGCAGGAAGGAAAGGAGGCCGGCAAGCAGCAGCAGCATATGGTCTCCTGTCTAGTCCCACCAAAGCTTCAAGGCCGCCCGAGCCCTGCACAGCCCTGCCTTCTTCCGCGAAGCATAAGATGGATGGCATGGAGGACACTGAAGAGCCTCCAGTGATGACTGTCCATAGCCATATAGGTTACAGTCAACACCCGCACTTTCAGTCGAGACGAGCGGCCAGACGTCGGATGATCAAAGCACCGCAATGGGATGACACTGTTGATAACCAAAGAGATGAAGGCCACCTGCACAGGACATGTTGCATCGTCCCAGCATGCACAAACCTGATCAGATTTCCAGCCTGCAAGAAGGTTCCAACGGTGTTGCAGAACTGGACACGAACCTGCGAAGTTTACTATAATAAAAATTATGGGAGTTATAGTAGTCGTCATCGCGAACGAAAGCATAGTCAAAGGAGAAAGTATCTGCACCGTGGATAGCAGCAGCACAGGACTTATCTGTGGCCGGCAAGTTGATTCCGCCTGTACGTACAATCTTTCCCTTGTGACCGCAAGGTGAAACTTACACTTCTGGACTACGGACCCTACCCAGAGAAAGCAGACGAGACAAGACTGCCCTCCAAAGATTCAGCGTCCTAATCTCGACGTCTCAAAATGGGCCTGCGTTGCAACAAACCGCTTCTTGCAGAACAAGGTGATCAGCACCAACGGAATAATCACCTTACCAGAGTATACAACGTCAGCATGCCAGTCAGAGTCTTGGGGCAGATGACTTCTGGATCTGACAGAGGCCTGATCAAGTAACCCCATGTTTGCCATATATGCCACCAGGAATCGAGCACAGCACACTGCTGCAGGGTGTACTTGCGCACTTCCTTAACATTCTATCCAGCCACGCTGAAGGAAGGGAGGGATCAAACAGGGAGGGCAAGTCTTGTAAGCCAAGGCTTCATCATGGCCGAGAATGCAGCCTCCGTTCAGGATATCCAGGTCAAAGGACAGCACTGACCTTGCGAACGGTACGCTTTGCAGCGTGGGCAGCACGCCAGGCATCAGGGAGCTGCCAAGACAACGGTTGCATCATTCTGCAGCTTCAAAAGATTTGGCTGCGGGCATAGCATTCAGAATACTGCGCATCGGCTCGAACCAGTCTATCTCGAGCTGGCGATAGATGTTCAAGCTTTGCAAGCAGCTGACCTTGGGGACTGCAACACTGCACATGGTGAGACGCATTCAGCCATCAGGCAGAAAGTAAACCTTGATGTTGAGCAGTAGCAGTGGCTGTGCCAAGTGGCTGCCATGCCACCTAGGATGGCAACCATAATGCTGGCATTCGACCGGATCAGTGGATCCTCCGATGCTATGGGGTATCCACTGTCAAGGAGTTCTTACACTAGTAGACCCGGTGTCTAGCTTAGGAGGCTTCCTTGTTGATCACCAATGTTGTCAGCACCACGAGCGCAGAAGTGCCGCACAGCACCAGAAGAAGCGGCAGCGAATCCTCAGTTGAGGCCCCTTCGTGGATAACTGCGGGGGAAGCCCGGCTTCAAACATTTCATGTTGCAGTGCCCCCAATCTTGCATTCCCCCTAACAGGCTCCAACCGTACCAATTTCATTTCCTGTAAGAGACAACGAAGCTGGGAGTCCCCATCTTCACAAACTTTACATCCGTCACTGCGTGGAGAATACCTCGGACTTCACTGGCACTGCTCTGCAACGAGGTTGCTTTGGCACACAAGGGCACCCGCAGATCCCGATACACTCTGAGCCACCACATGTCATGCCAAGTCGCCCGGAAACACATCGGCCACATGCGACTGCCTCCCACATGATTCGACAAAGTCAATCAAAGACAGTAAACCATAGGAGCATTTCAAATTTAAAAAATCGAAAAAGCGGGCGGTCATGAGTGTGTTCAGCAGTCTCAGAGAATGAGAAACGACTGCAGCCTGTTCCTGGCTCATGAGAACGCCGACACTTTCCGAGCTCAATCCGATGCTTACACTGCAACTTCTCCGCTGCGTCCCGTCGCCTGTGCATCATGGCCCTCGCTACAGCTTCCGTTTCGGCCACCGGGACATGCCTTTGCTGACCTGCCGGAAGGGAGATAGAACACTCGGGCCAGGCCCCAAAGTCTGAAACCTTTCGATCACTGAACGTCAGCCTGCATCGGAAGACTCTCCTCGGACTTGGCCACTTAGCACACTGCACGCGCTCGTGGCATGTGGTCTTCAAGGCTCAGATACTGTACTAAAATGAAGAAGACTGTCAGAATGTCCTCTTGTATTGATGCCTTGAACCACAACAATGGCAAAACTAGACATTCGATTGTGCCACCAATTGCCACCGACCAGTTGTAGCCGCGGCTCAGTGGGTCTCCAGCTTGCAGGGTCATAAACCCCGCTTGAAGCCTGCACTTCAAGAACGTGCAACATCAGCAAACGAAGCTCGTGTCTTGACACCTAATTACGCATAGGATTCAACCGCCCCAGAACTGGCACGGCACTCCAGATTTGGTACGAGTACCTTCCCAGCCGAGATGCAGAGGCTCTCCCTCGCGTGAGCCGAAGGCGCTAAGATTGCCTCCCAACACAGCTCTGCGGGGACTTCTAAAGATAAACGGCAAAATCAATGGCAAGAGCTCGCAAATTCTCCGTGTCTCGCGAGATCTGATACGCTACTAGATTGAAAACCGTGATGCGGCTCAGTGTGTCAGCCGTGTACGACTTGCAAAGGTGCGCCCGCGCAGTAAGACAAGACAAGCCACACGCCCATGCACAGCTCATGCCGGCAGGGCAGGTCGCGCAGGAAGAAATGTGAATGTCGAAGCAAGTTCCTGCTCTTCGAAACTGCTTAATCTCATCCACTGAAATTTACCACTGTCCAGGTCAAACAAATTTGCTGACGCGCTTTGAAGCCTTCACGCTTGTCGGCACACCCGAGCCACCGTGAAGGGCCCTTCCAGGTTCAAACCGAAGCTAGAAGCTCCAATGTCCTTGTGGGCACTTGCAGTCGGCAAGCGCAGAGCTTCCGCGTCCGTCTGAGGTGGTGCCATTATCCTTAGGTGCAGTGCAAAGTCGGGCCTTTTCGAGCGATGCTGTGGTGAAGAAATTGAGCCGAATCATATTCATATTGGACATGTCTGCGTCAAGCACGACGCCCGCAGCAGATGTGCAAGCTGTCGAGAATTGACTCGTACCAGGCGCTCCGCGACCATACAATGCTGTTTCGCGGCTTCCTGCAGCCCTCCAGCTACAAAAAAATGCCAAGAGGCACAGCTTTTGCACACAGAGCTTCCAGGCTCCTTGAAAGTCGCAGGTGAAAATGAAGGCGATGCTCGCGAAGGTCGGTCGCTCTACGCACTGAGAGCCCAGCATCACTGTAGTTGCCAGCGTTGCACCATTCACAAACCTGGCACTCCAGCCCTTTTCCCTTCATGCTTCATCACTGCAGGTTTCTGTGCCTCAGATCCATTCTCGGGCGCAGCCCGACCAGGTTCGCATGCATGGCACCTCTTAGCTCCCGGACACGAAGCCATGTCCCCCACTTTGCATTCGCGAGGCCACCGGGCCTGTCGCTTCCCTCGCCGCTGTACCTTTTGCAAAAAAGCAAACTTATGCTCATGATCATGGCTTCATGATCTCTCGATGTAGGATAGCTTGCTGATGTCAACATGCGCATCTATGTCTGTATGCATGTATATTGTATGCATGCAGGTTTGTATGTACGTATTTGTGTATGTCTGCCAAATTTTGTTTGTATGCAGGTATTCATACATGTGTGCGTGTGTGCAGATAAGCATGGCAAATGAGCTTCATCTGTCTCTGTCTGTGTCTGTCTGTGTCTTGTGTCTGTCTGCGTCTGTCTGCGTCTGTCTGTCTGTCTGTCTGTCTGTCTGTCTGTCTGTCTGTCTGTCTGTCTGTCTGTCTCTCTCTGTCTGTCTGTCTGTCTGGCTGGCTGTCCACATATGCAAATATATATATATAT